TTTGTACATGCAGTTTAGGTTTCAGAGCTGGCTCTAAATATCTGCTAGTCTGCTTTATGAATTAATGGAGATTATTCAGGAGGACATGGAACAAAATTAGAAAACTGAAATAGAAATTATATGAATCTTTGATAAAGAAATCTACTACTGACTATAGCATAGTGACTAAAATGTGTACCTAGTATCTATATTTTTAAATATCTATATTATGGAAGAGCAGGAGGTCCTGGATAGATATAAAGCTCCATTATACAGATAGGAGCTATGCCAGTGATTCTCAGCCTTTTCAGACTCGAGGCACTCCTTGATAGATTCAAGCCATCCCTTAGAAAATGCCAGCTCTTAGTTTTTGCTTTATTTTTTACTACAGAAAGATAATAATTCTTCTGTTGCAAAAAACTCAGAACCACAACAGGTCAGAATGTTTTTAACACTGTGGATTCCTGCAGTGAAATCTTTGGGTTCATTTTATGAATTACGTTTGCATACCTAACAGTGCTATGACACCCAGTGGCACCCATGAAAAGATCTCAAGGCCCCCACAGGTGCCAGGGCACCCTGGTTGAGAATTACTGCTCTATCCCCACAAGAGTTTGCTTTAACTTGGGCCCTCTAGTGAAGCCTTTTTGAAAATGCTTCAAATCTTTTTTAAATGTTCTGCATCTATTATAAGGTTCTGGGATACTCTTCCATTTTAAAAAAAAATGTGTCTAGTGTTGTTACTGAAACAGCATTACTAGCCTCTCTGTGAAGTGCTAGGCACTTCACTTAAATAAAATTCCTCTGCCTAGGCATAATCTCAGTGTCTTTTTTTCTACTTGTAAAAATGGGGATAATACAACCACATCTCTAAACAGGAAGTTTGTGAAATAAATTAATTCATATTTGTGAAGCACTCAGGTACTAAGAGGTATAAAAAAGCCCACAAACAAGTTAGTAACTTTCTCTTTGAGCTAGATTTGAGTAATGTACCATAAAGTAGACACAAGGACATATATTGGAGAACCTAATAAAATATTGAATAGCTGCTCATTCAGTGAACACTACCCTCCTGTGCACGGTTTTGGGTAAGGTTCTGTAAAAAACCCACAGTAAATGATCATGTAATTAAAGATTGTGTCATAATTCATGTGAAAAAGAGTAATTAATTAATATTGTGTAAGCAGTCTTAATTCTGGTATTGCCTGACTTCTGATTGCTTGATTTTGCAATGTTAACATTCATCTAATGTGGGGTTTTAGGTGTAAGAATACAACAGCAAGAAGTAGTAAAATATCATATTGATTTATCTAATTAGAAAGAGATGAATGAGAAAGATTTTGGTTAAAAAAAATTCTGTGATTATGATTCAATAACTTTTTAATTTTTTTTTTTAAATTAACAGCAGCCATCTCATTTCAGCAATTACCTTAGTGTGGGACCTAAGTATGTTCCTTGTGAGAACACAGTACTTGTCACTCTGGATCAAACCAAGTGCTCTTCTATTTCCAGTGACCAATACTGATACATAAGAAGGTGCAAAAAAAAGTATGAGATATTCTGTCAGTTATATAATGCTGTAATTGGAATGAAAAATAAGCCTTTGTTTTCTTACCCTTACAGTGCCAATTGTAATTGCAAATATTATTCTTTGTCATAACATATTTTAGACTATTTATAAATCTGCCTACAGTATTTGACTTTGTGACCTTCTGTAGCAGTGAATATCACAGGCTGACTATAAAATGTGTGAAGAAATATTTCTTTTCATTATCTTTAAATTTCCTGACATCCACTTCAATGAATTCTTCTCATACTGTAGACTGTGTAAAAAAATGAGACCAATAAATTTTACACTTTTCAAAACATTCCGTGCATTTATCACATACTATCCAACTTTCTCCTTTTATTTGCAAAATAATCCCTTGTTTTTTAATCTCTCACTGTATGTGAGTCCTGCTTTAACTGCAGCCACCATTATTGACCTTCTCTGGATCTTTTCAGTCTCACCAGACTAAAATGTAACCCAGCACTGTGAAGGTATGCCTACCATTGTTTGATACAGCATCATCATGCTTCCTGCATTATTTTCTATCACACTTGAAATGCATCCCAGCAGCTTATTTTTAGTTTTGCTACTACTTTATAAAAGACAGACCTCTTTAATAAGCTATCTATGCTGATTCCTAATTGTCCTCCCTGATAGAATCCCTATTTAATGTTCACCAGTACATATGGTTAGTTTATACATAAACTTGAATTTATGCAAGCTTGGTTTCAATGGCTGGCATGTTATTCAATTCACTGACTGTGTCTAGTTCTATTTGGAGTATTTTAGCATCATTTCTGGGACTTCATAACCACAATAACTAAATGTTATCAGTAGAGTTTGCTAATTCTTTGTCTGCTTCCTTCTCCATGTCATTACCTAATGCTGACCCTTGAAGCATTTTACTTCTGATCCTCATTATTCTTTGGCAAAGTGATGCATGTCATGTGTTTTTCAAATACATTAGCTCAATCAAACTGGTCTAATGTGACTGAAAAACTCCAGTAACATGAAGGTTAATGAGTGTGAAACTGTGAGAGCTGACTACTGTAGCCTAATCTCCAAAAGGAAAAGCTAGCATGGTTTCAGACTTGCTAACCTGTGTTTTACTGGAATTTTTCAATCATGTTAAAATAATCTGATCAATCCAATCTGATTCCAAATCAAACATTATGCCCACCAAGAAAGGCAGAAGAAAATAGATAGTATAATGTGTGCTCAGAGTTTGTCTTTAATATATGAATGTGTTATTAGACATGTCTTCCTCTCATAGATGGGGAGTAGCTATCCTGGTATTTTTAGTAAGGAGGCAGAACCTTCAGGTTTTCTTAATTTATTTTATTACATCTCCTGAACCCTTGAAGACTGTGCCTTCCCATTTTCTCCTGTTGAATTTAGAGGGTTGCAGTCTTTCCCTTTAGACCTTATCAACCCCATTCTTCATTATTATCTGGAATGGGTTATCAGAATCTAGACAAGAGGAGTTTACTGTCTCCCGATAATGCCTTTGCTGTTTTTCTAACTTTTTGCTATCCTGGCTTTTCATGTAAGTGTTGTTAGTGGTGAAAGGGGGTGTTGGTTGTAGCTGTGTTCGTTTAAAGACAGGTAGACAAGGTTCTTTGGGTCAATGTGATATCTTTTACTAGACAAACTAAATAGTTGGAAAAATGCTCTTTGGAAGCTTTTGGGCCCAAACACTCTTCTTCAGGCACAGGGAGAGTCTGCTGTTGTGTTGTGTTGTGTTCTGGATAGAATAGAAGTCAATCTGCAAAATGCAGGTCTGTGAAAATATTAATGCCTGGCAGTGAGGATCAGAGACCATGGGAGACAATAGGAGTGAGACAGGTCATGGGGTGGGGGAAGAGGCGGGGAGAAGGGGAGTGTTGACCTGGTGACAGAATGTAGCTGGTAAAATGTAGAGAGGTTACCTGGAGTTATTGGATGGCAGGCAGGTTATAATGTGCCATAAACCAACAGTCTATATTTAGTCCATGATCTTTTGTAGCCAGTAGATTTTCAAAGTGAAGTTCCAAGGCTCATCTGTGAAAAGTGTTTTGTTAATTCCCTTTGAGGATGAAAACCGAGAGATTGGAAAGAGAGTGGTTGTCTTGTGAGAAGTGTGCACTCACAGGTAATTGGGTATTTTTGTCTTTGATAGATTTTCAGTGTGTATTCATTCTGGTACGCAGTTGTAGTTTGGTTTCTCCTACATATTTTCCATCAGGGCATTTAGTGAACTGGATGAGATATATAACATTTCTGGAGGTGCAGGTGTAAGATTCAGAAATGATGATGGTTCTGTTGTGGGGTGTAGTTATTGTGGGAGTGGTGGAGATATGTTGGCAGGTTTTGCATTTCTTTCAATTCCTGGCATGATCTGTATCCATTTTGTGTATTTTGGGTTATAGGAAGTTTGCTTCTGGTGATGAGGTTGGTGAGCTTCAGTGCTCATTTAAAGGCTAGGATGGATGGTTCTGTACAGATCTCTTTAAGAATTAGGTGTTCTTCTATTATGGATTGCAGTTGTTTCAGGATTTTCTGTATAGGTTCCAGGGAGGGATGGCATGTCATAACTAATGGTGTGCGATTTGTGGGGATTTTCTTTTTGTACTGCAGCAATTCTTTACCTGGTATCCAGGTGGCGTTTACAAAAGTGAAATATATCTTTTTGGAGGAGTGTCCTTGTTGGATGAAAGCCCTTTTGAGATTTGTGAGGTGATGATCAAAGGTGTTCTCCTCAGTGCAAATTTGGTGGTATCAGAGGGCTTGGCTGTATATTACAGCTTTCTTTGTGTGTTTAGGGTGATTGCTGGTTCTGTGTAGATATGCATGTTGGTCCATGGGTTTCCTGTATATGGTGGTCTGCATTTTACCATTCTGGATACTGATATGTCTAAAAATTAAATGCTAGTGGTTGAGTAGTCAAGAGATAGGCTGATGGAGGGGTGATGATTATTGAATTTGTGATAGAAATCTATCAGAGATTGCAGGTTTTCAGTCCAAATGATGATGTCAGCCATATGTCTTAAGTATAGCAAGGGTTTGCTGGTGCAGTTCTTGAGGAATTCTTATTCCAAGTGGCCCATAAAAAAGTTGCCATATTGTGGGACCATTTTGGTGCCCATAGCTGTATGCATGGTCTGGAGGAAGTGTTGGTTGTTGAAAGTGAAGTTGCTGTGTGAGGATGGAGCGTATAAGTTCAGCAATATATTTAGGTCCGTACTCGGAGTTGTGATCTTGCTGTTGTAGATAGGTAAGGCAGGATTGGATGCCATCCTGATGTGTAACATTGTTGTTGGGATTGCGCAATACCTCCCATTTCCTCTTGTACTCACCTGCCACGACTTTGATCTTATGAGGGGAGGAAAGAGATTAGTATGATGTTAATCGGTACTCACAGAATAACTTCCCCAGACACGTTAAATCACTCCATATATTTTTAATTCTCTTTTCTTTTACAGCGGCCCCAGTTGCAGGCAACAGCCTCCTCAACTTTCTCCCAGAGCCACTCGTCAGCTCTGGAGAGGATCCCTGCCGTCGAGAATCTCAAGGTAAGTCCCTGGCAGTGCTCTGCAGCGCTAATTAACTCATTAGTGAGAGCAGCTAACGTCTCTTTGACCTGTTGCCTGCGTAAAACCTTGGGCAACCCTTCTTCTAGGTTACTCTTCCAGATTTGCTGGGGCTGGTCAGTACCGCCTGTGCCCAGCCTCCCTCGTTTTACCGAGACTTTCCCCAGTTTTCTCTTCTTCTTTTCTTGTGCTGCCGCTCCCTGCTGGTAATTGATTGGTTTACAGCTGTGCTCGTTAAACCCTGCGTCCCAATTCCCTTCTCGGAGTTGGGAACGTCCCTGGCTGTTGCTTGCAGCCAATCCTAGTCTCTCCCAAGCTGGGGTATTCCTTATTATCATGGGATTTTCCCCCCAGATTGTGGCAAGGAGACTTGGCCCCTTTGGACTCACCACTGCAGTCACGTCTTTGGGTGAGTGCCTGACCCACGCCATCCTGCCATCCTTCTCATGCCTAAAGGCATTCTCTCTGGGTCCTCCCCCTGGTTTTATCCTCGTGAGCTAAGTCCGTCAGCCAATCCTGAGTTAGGTGGAGAATTCCACCCCCATCTGTATGGGTGTTGTCATTAACAGCCCCCCGGTGTTCATCCAAGTAACAGGGCTCCCAACCGAGACCCTGTTACAAACATCTATGATGGCTAGGAGGGTATTGCTGGGAAGATGGTCTATGTTTTCATAGTAAGTCTGTTGTGTCTTAGGCAAAACTTGCTCTTTGGGTGACAAGAGGTTTTAGGATGGTAAAAAGTGTTAGATTTTATCACTGAGTTTTATTTTAGGAGATTTCCCTGTATGTGTATTTTAATTCTGTGGGTATGTGGTCTTTTGTTTCTCTACTGCCATTTTCCCTTTGTTGCTCAAGCTAATTTGTGTGATAGGGTGCTATTGGACCTGGGTCAACTCCCAATATCATATCCACACTTCTCCCCACCCCCTGCCCATGTATATCTTGCCCTCTATGCCTCAGTGGATTTATTGGAGACAGGAGAAAAACGTGCCCTGGGAAGATTTTCCTTAGGGTGATCTTCTGTCTGGTTCTAGGCTCTTTAACCCATTAATCCTTCACCAATCATGAAGTGTATTTTGTCCAGGGCTTCTCCAACCCTACACCCTGGTCCATCACTCACCTCAATAACCTCATCAGTAATGGCTGTCCCATGGGGAGAATGGATCTGTCTATCTCCCTGTATGCCCTTGATGGGCTCTAATCAGGGATGGTTGATAGTCCCACTCAGTTTGTTGTACACATGAGAAAAAAACAATGTAAACTAAAGACAAAACAGCCCGGCATATGCCTAATCATTTTCTTCACATGCCCTCTATTTATATAGGCCCTCTTCTCTCAGTGGGCCACCAGCAGTTTGACTTATTTCTCAGTCCATTTTGGCTTCAAGATTGTCTCAATTTGCACTTTGTCCTAGGGTGAATTACGTAGTTCTCCCCCGACACGTAGGCTACTGACCATGTACAGACCACCTTCTCCCCATTCAGCTGCCCCTCCAGACAATCAGTCTGCAGGTCACATAGGTTTCTTTCAACCTATAAAGTTCAGAGTCCTTCCCTCACAGGAGACCCGGCATATGGAGGTGCCTTCTGGTTTGCCGCAGTAGGTCCACAGGCCACAGATGCCGATTCAGTGACAGCCCGTACTGTGTCTTTCCCCTCACCCCGTTACAAGGCAGGACTCTTATTACCCTTAGTGGGGATAATTCTCCCTCTTGGTGATGGGGTTCTCATTTGTTACTCACAGATCTTCTCTTTCTTTGCCGGCCAGTGGATTCATCGGACTTCTGTATTCAGTGGCAAGGGTGATGCAACTCTCTTCTGGCTGCTGCAGGTTCTCCGGCACTCTCATTGGTGGTTTGCCAACACCGCCATGCCAGCACCAGGTAAGCCTCCCTTGGTTAGTTTCCTCTTTCCAGGGGAAACTTATCCTCACCTTGACAGGTTTTTCACCTCTCAATGGCTCAGAACTCCAGGGGCCTTCTGGGCTTCCACCTGCCCCCCTGCTGCACTGGGAAATGCTGGCTTCAAAGGGCCCATGCCCACGGCAGCAGTGCCCTGCTGTTCGACTTCCAGTACTGGCTCATCAGTGAGGGCAAGCGTAGTGGGGCCAAGATCAGCTCCCTGCTACAGTTTCCATATCACTTTTTTGCTGGGATGTTCTGACTCTTTTGTTTTATCACATGTTTCTGAGAACCCATTCTCCTTAACATTTAAATTATTCAGAAATCAATTTGTGAGGCCGGTCTTCAGTGAAAAGCACCATTCTAACATGAAGACAAGTTTTGTTAGGTTCTTGACTTCTTAACAGACTAATGCAAGACAAATCATTTTTAACTTTTTGTTTTTGTTTGCCTCAGGGTTGTGGTTATTATCTATTTGTAAACCTGTATTCCTTCTCTGCATTGGGATTTTTGTTGATGAGTCCCCTTGGGATAAAAATGAAGGATCTGAAATACACTGTACTACCCAGGATTTGGCATATTCCCAACTAGATAGATAGCTTTTATTATTATAAATTGATTTTTATTGTTATTGTCTCAAGACCCTAGGCATGAGGTTCTTGAATGACTTCCTTGACAATTGAACTTGTAGCACATATCTTGAGAATGTAAGACATGAGAAAAGGACAGGAACGTCTCAATCCGGGAACCATTTATTCCATAATGTTTCTTCCAAATCCCTTGGTTGCCATCCGCAAAGCTCATTTCCAAAGGCTTTCCTTTCTCTGACCAATGTGTGTGTGTGGTTTGGGCCTTTGTTTGTTGTTAGTTTCTTTTTTGTGTCTTTCCTCCTTTTATCCGCCCTTTATTTTGTTTCTTTTTGAAAATGACTAACTCCTCTGGGTATTGGGGGCAACATTTGGCTTAATTTTCCAGCAAGATAGGTTTAGTCTATACAGCCTATTTACTTGATTATACAAATATACACTGATGTTACTGGGACAGCATGGGATATAGCTGTGTCTAATCATAAACTCTGTATTGTACTATAGGTGAAAACAGGCCTGGACATGCTCAGAGACAACCTGTTTTACTGCATTCAGATGGTTGCCCTACCCAGGACAGGTGTTTGACTCCTCACTGAAGGAGTAACGCTAGAATCCAATCTGGAGCTAGTGACTTTGTTTCAACTGCTGGACCACCCCCCCGGATGTTATCTTGCTATGCAACAGTTCACAGATAGGGTAAGAATGATAAAAATTGGGGACATTTTTCAGTAAATATATGTGACAAGGTTGGATGTAAGAGCCAGTGCCTGCTCTGATTAAGAGGGCAGATCATATAATGGACTTGTAAAAGAAGTGCATCAAGGTCCCTTCTCAGCCTGAAACGTAGACAGTTTTAAGACTTAGAGAGAGACTGAGATCAGACTAGGGGAGGGTGATGCATTGCAGGACTCCATAATTTTCAGTGATTTGTAACTGGACTGCTTTAAGGGTAAAATCTGTACAGATAAGAAACTCCTTTTGTAAATGCAGGTCCCTTTCTTTCCTGCTATGTTGTTCCTAAAATGGCTAAACTAGAATCCCAGAGTGCCCTTGGTTTAGGTGGAGCTTTGGGGGAGACTGCAGGTAAGTGGGCAGGGCTTAGGAGGTCTTAGGCATCAAGACACTGGCCCGTATCTCCAAAGAGAAGGCTCCAGACCAAAGCTCTGATCCTGGCTTATTGACTTGATGTTGGACAGCAGTTCAACTGCTTTTGACATTTTGGGCTTTATGCCTGGTAGTGGCAGGTGAGGGTTTGTTCCTAAAGGTGGTTGGACTAGAGCAGTGTTTTCAAACTTGTTTAATTTGCAGATCCCTTTGGAAATTCTGAATAGAGGTGCAGACTGTGCGGGCCGGGAGCGGTCCGAGGCTTTCAGGGGCGCGCGGCAGGCTGTGGCCGGGAGCCCACAACGGTAGGGCGGGTACTTTTGCATGACGGACTAGAATTAGGCACGGACTCGTAGCGGTTAACTAAAGATTGTTTTACTTACACCGTAGGTGGTCGCGGTGCAGGCAGGAAAAACTTTCTTGAGTTGCAGTTACAGACAAACACAAGTGGAGTTTGCTAGGCTCCACCGAAGACACACGCACGGAGCTTGCTAGGCTCCGCAAAAACAAACACGACAGAGCTCTGGATACCCTTGACGAGCGCGCAAAACCGTAGATATGTCTTAAGAATTTAACAAATGAGACGGGAAGAGGTTGGTGGTTGATCAGGCCGCTGAACTCCTCTGAGACACACACAAAGTTTCTATTACTCTGCCGCGTGCTCAGAGTCCCCACGAGATGGTTGTGGAGTCCTCTATCAACTTGGGCGGAAACTGCTAAACCTCTTATACAACTAGCACGCCAATCGCTAGCCGCCACGTGGGAATAATTTAGAAACAGCCAATAGTGGGAAACAAATTTACATACGGGTGGCAGGAACTCCTTTGCACCGGGGTTTTCTCTCTGCAGCTGAGAATTGCAC